CTGGGGTTCTGGGGGAGGGCGCTGGGGTTCTGGGGAGGGAGGTGCCAGTCCCTGCTCTTCTCCCAGTTCTCCCTGATGCAGTTCTCCAGCACCTTCTGGGTTCACTTCACGTTCAAGCAATTCTCGCAGAGCTCAAACCCACTACGGCTGCTGGACTCTGTGACCAAGCTGGATGGGCGCACATACACGGCCTCAGCTATCCTGAGGGTCACGTGAGTCCTGACTCTCCAGTCCTCCCGGCGGCCGCTCTTCCCCTGGGCCTCCTCCGGCTCCAAGACAAAGGGGCCGATGGGACTGAGATTCTGCCTGGTCTCCTCACCAAGGGCGGGGGTGGCTCTGAGCTGCACGCATCAGACTCCCAGAGGAAGTCACCTCCTCGTTGCCACCGAGGCGGAGGGGCTCTGCCCAGGCGCCTCTGGACCCTCCTCTTTCCTGCAGAGAAGAGCTGTTCAGTGCCCAGAAGGGGGCCAGACAGGACGCCTCCAAGATCCTCATCGTCATCACGGACGGGGAGAAAGTAGGCGACAACCTGGAATATGAGAATGTCATCTCCCGGGCCGAGGACAAGGGCATCGTCCGCTATGCGGTCGGGGTAGGATGTGGGATGCTGCCCTCTGCTTCCTCTTTGGGGACTTCCCTTCCAGGGACAGAAACCCAGCTCTCGGCTTCCACTGCCCGCGGGAGGAGGCTGTGTTAGCCTGGGGACCTGGCCCTCTGCCAACCTCCGTGACGCTTTCTGAGCCTCCGTTTCTCTCCCGTATCTGGGGGGAGGGGGGCGGTGACACTGGCCCCGATCACTGGAGGACACAGCGCCAGAGCGGGGCAGGCGCCGTGGGCTTGTCATCTGTTCACTGAGTCGGTTTCCTGTGGGGACAGGTGGGGTCGGCTTTTCAGAAAGCAAGCGCCTTCGCAGAACTGAACGCCATCGCGTCCAGGCCCTCGCAGGAGCACATATTCAGAGTGGACAACTTTGATGCTCTGAGAGACATTCAAAAGCAGCTGAAAGAGAAGATCTTTGCCATTGAGGGTAAGTCAGAGCTGGAACTCGCTCTAGACACCTCATTCACGGGTGCCTTTCCTCTGGGCCCCACCCTCTGGGCATAGTCTCCACCATCAGGCCCTGTTAAGCTGGGGTGTCCTGCCCTGGCCGGTGTGGCTCAGTGGATAGAGCTTCGGCCTGAGGACCGCAGGGTCCTGGGGTGCAGGCTCCTCCCTTGCCCAGGCTGTGGTTGGGTGTGTGCAAGAGGCAACCAATCAACGTGCTTCTCTCACATCAGTGTTTCTCTCTGTCTCTCCCTCTCTCTTCCTCTCTGAAAATCAATGGAAAAACACCCTCGGGTGAGGATTAAAAAGAAAAGCTGAGGTGTCCTGGCAATCCTGTCCCCCCTCCCCCCGCCCCGAACCCGAACCCGAGTGCCATGCCTCCCCCAGGTACCCACACCGTGAGCAGCAGCTCCTTCCAGTTCGAGATGTCCCAGGAGGGCTTCAGCGCGGTGCTCACGCCTGTGAGTGGGCCCTTCCGGCACCGGTGTGGGATGAGGGGGAGCGTGTGGGATGAGGGGAGCGTGTGGGATGAGGGGAGCGTGTGGGATGAGGGGAGCGTGTGGGATGAGGGGAGCGTGTGGGATGAGGGGAGCGTGTGGGATGAGGGGAGCGTGTGGGATGAGGGGAGCGTGTGGGATGAGGGGAGCGTGTGGGATGAGGGGAGCGTGTGGGATGAGGGGAGCGTGTGGGATGAGGGGAGCGTGTGGGATGAGGGGAGCGTGTGGGATGAGGGGAGCGTGTGGGATGAGGGGAGCGTGTGGGATGAGGGGAGCGTGTGGGATGAGGGGAGCGTGTGGGATGAGGGGAGCGTGTGGGATGAGGGGAGCGTGTGGGATGAGGGGAGCGTGTGGGATGAGGGGAGCGTGTGGGATGAGGGGAGCGTGTGGGATGAGGGGAGCGTGTGGGATGAGGGGAGCGTGTGGGATGAGGGGAGCGTGTGGGATGAGGGGAGCGTGTGGGATGAGGGGAGCGTGTGGGATGAGGGGAGCGTGTGGGATGAGGGGAGCGTGTGGGATGAGGGGAGCGTGTGGGATGAGGGGAGCGTGTGGGATGAGGGGAGCGTGTGGGATGAGGGGAGCGTGTGGGATGAGGGGAGCGTGTGGGATGAGGGGAGCGTGTGGGATGAGGGGAGCGTGTGGGATGAGGGGAGCGTGTGGGATGAGGGGAGCGTGTGGGATGAGGGGAGCGTGTGGGATGAGGGGAGCGTGTGGGATGAGGGGAGCGTGTGGGATGAGGGGAGCGTGTGGGATGAGGGGAGCGTGTGGGATGAGGGGAGCGTGTGGGATGAGGGGAGCGTGTAAAATAAATTCAATTCAAATTGGCTTAAAAAACAAAGAATGTGGGGCAGGGTGTGGGGGGAGGGAGTGGCCTTTGTGCTGAGGCCCAGCCCCCTCAGGTTACTCCACCGAGCTGGCCCTTTGGAAGGGGGTGCAGAGCCTGGTCCTGGGGGCCCCCCGCCATCAGCACACCGGGAAGGCCGTCATCTTCACCCAGGCGGCCGGGCAGTGGAGGCCGAAGGCTGAAGTCACAGGGACCCAGGTTGGGTGTGGAGGACCGGAGGGTGGCGGGCTCTCCAGGGAGGAGGGAGCAGATGAAGGGGTTCGGGCCTCGTGGGGGGAGGTCCTGGTGCCCAGGGAGAGGCGGGACCTGGCCCAGAGGGTGCCCTGCGCCAGGGCAGACAGGGGGACGTGAGGCTCTGCCCTCCAGATTGGCTCCTACTTCGGGGCCTCCCTCTGCTCCGTGGACGTGGACAGAGATGGCAGCTCCGACCTGGTCCTCATCGGGGCTCCCCATTACTACGAGCCGACCCGGGGGGGCCAGGTGTCCGTGTGCCCCTTTCCCCGGGGGGTGAGTGGCTGAGGAGGCCTGGCTGGGTGGGGCCTGGTGTGGGGTGGAGGGGTGGCCCGGGTTGGGACTAGCACTGTTTCTGCTCTGCAAAAGGCCAGGTGGCAGTGCCGGGCCATTCTCCGTGGGGAGCAGGGCCACCCCTGGGGCCGCTTTGGGGCAGCCCTGACCGCCATGGGGGACGTGAATGGGGACAAGCTGACGGACGTGGCCATCGGGGCCCCGGGGGAAGAGGAGAACCGGGGTGCTGTGTACCTGTTCCACGGAGCCTCGGGGCCGGGCATCAGCCCCTCCCACAGCCAGGTGAGGCCCGTTGCAGATCCTGTCACTCCGACCGCCTTCTCCTTGCTCCTCCCTGTCTTCCACGCTGCCACCTGGAAAAGTCTGTCACCACCTCTGCCCTCCTCTGCCCACCGCGGGCGTCTCTAGGCAGCGAACACAATCTGTGGGGCGTGAGAAATGGAAATGTCCAATGGAGACTTGATACTTGGGTGGGTTCTCGCCCAGGACTTTTAATCCCCCGGCGGCTTCACGCGCAGCCCAGGCCCCGCCAGCCAGCCGTGTTAGAGAAGAGGCCTGGGGTCTGGAGGAGTCAGTGACTTGGCTGGTCCCGGTCGGTAGTGGATCGGGAATGGTGGTGAGGGCCGTTCGGGTCTCCTGCTTCTCACCACTGCCCGGTCCCTTGGGGCCCCGCAGCCGGTCACTTTGGGCCTGGTTGCTCAGCCTGCCTGTCCACGCACCCCTTCATCTCCCTGGAGGCCACACGACTTCTTTCCCTGCTGCCATCAGTAATCCTGCCAGAGGCCCGTCCACACAGGAGCCCCCGCCCAGGGGGTCAGGGCTCCCTCAGAAAGGGGGCTGCTTCCCTGGCAAAGTCAAGGAAGCCCCAATAAAAACAGGCCAAAGGGCCAGGAGACACTTCTGCAAAGATGATCTACGAAGGCCCAGCAGGCACATGAAAAGGTATTGAACATCATTCATCGTCAATCATCAGCAAATTAAAACCACAGTGAGACACCAGTTCACACCCACGGGGGCGGCGGGGGGTGGGGGGGGTCTAGAATGGAGAGACGGGAAACAGCAAGTGTGGGCCGGATGCGGAGGCTCGTGTACCGCGGGGGATGGGACCCGGTGCAGCCGCCTTGGACACAGCCTGGCAGGTCCTGAAAGGTGAAGCAGAAGGTACTGTATGACCCAGCGACTCTGCCCGAGAGAACGGAAAACACGTTTACACAAAAAGTTACAACAGATGTTCATATAGCATGATTCACAATAACCCAAAGGCGGAGACAGCCCACATGCCCATCAACGAATGAGCAGATAGACAAATGGGTGTGGCCATGCAGTGGAATAGTATTCAGCCGTAAACAGGAGCGAGGGACTGACACATCTACAATATGAATGACCTTGAAAACATTATGCTGAGTGAGAGAAGCCCACACAAAGCCCACCTAGAGTCTGGTCCCATTTATATTAGCTCCAGAATGCGGCGGGGTGGGGATGGGGTGGGGATGGGGGACGTTCACAGAGACAGAACGTAGGTTAGTGGTTGTCAGGGGCTGGGGAGGGAAATGAGGGAGTTAGGGGTGACTGCTCAGGCATATGGCTTCTTTTTGGGGGTGAAGAAAATGTTCTAAAATTGATTTGTTGGTGGTCACATAACTCTGTGAACCTCCTAAGAACATGGAGTTGTGTGCTTTAAAAGGGTGAATTGCACGGTGTGTGAATTGTGTCTCAGGGATGTGGTCGTGGTCACGGCTCACCTGTCTGTGCTGAGCTCCTCAGCTGTCCACGGTGGTGACAAGAAGCCAGCCTGCGCAGGCCGCTGCCGTGAGGGTTACATGAGTTAGTACGCAGGCGGCACGTAGCAGGTCTATGGCGGACATATGCATATGTGCCTGGCACAGTAGGTGCTCCGTTATCCTCAATTCCTGTCGGTACAGCTTAGCAACGGAAGGGGTTTCAAAGAGCTTGGAACTTTAAGAAGAGGGCGAGGGGCTTGGCTGAGAACCCAGCGGCCCCCTGCGGCCCCGAAGCTCCTTTCCTTCGCTCTAGTCATCGTGGCTTTGTAGGTCCTTCATGGTGACATCTTTTCATGCCTCACCCCTTCTGTGTCTCACCTTCCTACCTCCCCCTTCCTCCTGTTGCTGATTCCAACTCGTTTTTCTCACCCCAAACTGGCTTGCCCATCCCTCTCGCCAGAGGATCACAGGCTCCCAGCTCTCCCCTGGGCTCCAGCACTTTGGACAGTCGCTGAGCGGGGGCCAGGACCTCACCCTGGATGGCCTTGTGGACCTGGCCGTGGGGGCCCAGGGGCACGCACTGCTGCTCAGGTGAGAGCAGCCTTCCCCAGTCACTCCCCAGATGGTCCCTAGGTGTACCCAGGACACCCGTCCCCTCACCCACCCCAGGTGGCCCTCCCGGGACCAAAGGCTGCCATTCTGCCCACAGGACCAGACCTGTGCTCAGGGTGTGGGTGGAGATCCGCACAACACCCACAGAGATTGCTAGGTCTGTGTTCGAGTGTCGGGAGAACACAGCCTCCATCCGGGACCTGGGTGATGCCAGAGTCTGCCTTCGTGTCCATGAAAGTCCCAGGACCCGGCTGGGTGAGTCCTCCCTGGCCCAGACTCCCATCTCCGGCCTTGCCCCCTGCCCCGCTGGGGAGTTCCTGGTTCTCTCAGCCTTCCCCACCCTCTACTTCCCCCTCTAGGTAACCTCCAAAGTGATGTGACCTTTGACCTGACCCTTGACCCTGGCCACCTGAGTCCCCGAGCCATCTTCAAGGAGACGAACACTCGGCATCTGAGTCGAGTCAGAGTCCTTGATCTGAGACAGCACTGCGAGGACGTGAAGCTGCTGCTCCCGGTGAGGGTCTCAGGGCGCTGGGGACGGGACGATGCCGAGGCTGTGAGGGTCTCGGGGCGCTGGGGACAGGGCGATGCTGAGGCTGTGAGGGTCTCGGGGCGCTGGGGACGGGGCGATGCTGAGGCTGGCGGCGGCCGGGCAGGGAAAGGACCAGGTGTGTTCTGGTCCTGGCGCTAGCTCGGCCCAGCAGGTCCCCTCGCATGCAGGAGGAACTTACCATTTGTTAGCCAGATAAGTGAGTGGATTCGTGGCTGAGTGAGTGATTGAATGGAGGGGTGGGCTGCAGCTGCCAGAAATCGCACAGCTGGATTGCAGAGCAGCGCATGGCTGCGTCAGAGAGCTAGAGCGGTGGGCCGGGATTCTTGCATCGAGCCGTTCCTCTGAGACAGATCCTGTCCCAGGTGCCAGGGACACCACCTGGACAACACAGTCCACGCCCAGAGGGTGCGCAGGGAAAGAGCGAAACAATCAGGTTCCTAGACAACAGGGTCAGGTAGTGATGAATGCTGTGACGAAGCCAGGGAGAGAGCAGAGGGTCCGGAGGCCTCTCCGAGCAGGGAGGTTGCGAGGCCCTGAACAGGCTGACCTGTGGGAGGCTGGGGGAGGGAGATCAAGGCAGAGGGCAAACCCAGCAGAGGGTCCTCAAGGTGGAATCAGCAATGAGCGTTTCACCAGCGCAGGCGACAGGCCTCACTGTCACCCCATCTCACGGATGAGGAGACGGGCACAGCCAGTGACTGAGGTGCTGTCCTGAGCCTCCTGCTCTCCCCCATGGCTGCCCTGTAGGCTTGCGTGGAGGACGCGATGATCCCCATCACCTTGAGTCTCAATTTCTCCCTGGTGGGCAAGCCCATCCCATCCTTTGGGAACCTCCAGCCTATTCTGGCCCCGGACACCCGCAGACACTTCACGGCCTCTGTGAGTCCTCAGGTTGGGATCTTCGGGGGGCAGTTGGGTGTGGGCTCCAGGCCTTGGAGGAACCCCACGTTGCCTTCCCTCTCAGCTCCCCTTTGAGAAGAACTGTGGGGACGACCGTGTCTGCCAGGACGACCTTGGCATCACCGTTGACGCCTCTGGGTGAGCTTCCACCTCCTGAGACCTGCCCTGGTCTCCCAGCCCCTCTCCTGGGACCTAGAGCTGCCGTCTGGCTCTCCCTACCATCTCCATCCTGTGCTCAGAAACCAGACATCCCAGGCTCCGGGCCCCCCACCTCTCCACTCTGGGTTTCGTCCCCAGACCATTTCTAGCCCTGGTCATAGGCTCATCTCCTGCCCTCCACCCCAACCCCCAGCTTGGAGACCCTGGTGGTGGGGAACACCCTGGAGCTGAACATGGGAGTGAAAGTGTGGAATGATGGTGAGGACTCCTATGGGACCACGGTCACCTTCTCCTACCCGCCAGGGCTGTCCTACCGACGGGCAACAGTCAGCCAGGTACTATTCCTTCTGGGGAAGCAGCCAGTGGCTGGGGATCAGCAGAGACTCCTGTTCAAAGCTCAGGCTGGGGCTGCCATCGCTCAGCAGCCTCTCAGAAACCCAGGGATCCGGGCTGGTGCTGGTCGGAGAGACATGGTTGTGCCATCGGGGGCTTGCTCATGCTGTGCTCAACTCCGGGCATCGCGTTTTAAGGACACCAACTATTAGGAATGAGTGCCCAGCAGGCTGCCAATGTGGAGAGAGAGGGCACTCTGCCCTAAACGTTTTTGTATTCCACATCATGTCAATATTCTTCTTTTAAAGGAAAACCTACCTCAACCTTCAAATATTTTAAACACTGTCTTGTAGAAGCAGGGGTTAACTTTATTGGTTGCTCTAGATCAGGTCTTGGCCTGCTTTTTTTCTGAAGAGCTGGAAAATAAATATTTCAGCTTTGTGGGCCATAGAGCGCCTGTCACATCCACTGAGCTCTGCTAGTGTGGAGTGAAAGCAGCCAATAAAACTCCCTCTATGAAAAGTGGTGTTGGGCTATCGTTTGGCAAGACCTGCTCTGGAAGGCAGAGCTAGGACCAAAGTGAAACAGATTTTCAACAAAAATTTTACGAAAAATGCTAAACATTTATAAAAGTAGGGAGTAGATCAACAAACCTCTCAAAAACGTATCACCCAGATTCAACAAGTATCAATGTTTTGCTATATTTATTTTATCTGGCTCCCCCCTCCATTTGCTGAAATATTTTAAGATAAATCCCAGACATCATGTCACTCCTCTTTCTTCCCCCCTATAGTTCTGGACTGTCCCCACATCCCACATGACCCAATACCATTATCGCATTCAGTGAAACAAACGATTCATAATAAAATTTCCTTAATTGGCTCAAAAATATCTTTTTATACCTGATTTGTTCGAACCAGCATCTAAACTAGGTCTATACATTACGTTTGGCTGGTTGGTCTCTTATGTCTCTCTTGGGCTAGTATTCCCAATGGGGTCACAGTTTGGTTAACATTCAAAGGAACGCACTAGAAATGGCAAGATCCGGCTGCCCAGGGGTGAGTGCCCATCACTGGAAGTACTTCTGGACACACCAACCAAATGCAGCATGTGGACCTTTGCTGGGTATTTGTTTCTAAAATGAGCTGTAAAGTAGCATCTTTGGAGGCAACCCAGGAAGTCTGCGCATGCCCTGCCTACTGGCTGACATTACGGAGTTGTTGCTTATTTTGCCGGGCGTGAGTTGTTGAGTCTTGCGGTTGGTGGTTTATATTGAAGTATTTCTGGATGAAACAATGTGATATTCGGAATGTGCTTTCAATTACTCCGGAAAAAGGTGGAGAAGCAGCTGAATAAAACAAAAGTAGAAAAAATGTTGGCAGTTGAAGCTGAGTGATGGGTATATGGGGCTTGATTTATCTAGTCTCTCTACTTTTGAGTATGTTTGAAAATTTCCATAACAGAAAGCCTTTTTAAAATAACAATAAATAAAAAAGGGGGAGAACTTTAATAAATCTGAGATTTCTACATTAGGAAGAAATTTGACCAGATAGTGTCTAAGGATTTTTTAAAAACAAAGCATAATCTTAGGGTAGATTCCAGAAAACTGTCACTCCGTCATGGAGTCTCTTTGGGACACGCTCTAACGAGCGCCCCCTGCCCTTGCTTAGAGCCGGCCACAGTCACGCTCCCTGCAACTGGCCTGCGACAGCGGGAGCCAGGACGCCTGGAGCACGCGCTGCAGCCTCAAACACATCATCTTCCGCGAGGGAGCTCAGGTCTGTCTCCCACTTCCCTGCCCCCACCCAGTCTCAGGGCTCCGTGACCTCCGCCTCCAACCCCACGCCTGCCTCTCCCTCAGGTCACCTTCGTGGCCACCTTTGACGTCTCCCCCAAGGCCATGCTGGGAGACCGGCTGCTTCTAACGGCCAACGTGAGCAGGTGAGCAGGGCCAGGCACAGGTCCGCGCCCCCTCGCGCCCATCTCCTCGTCAGGAGCACCCGCCAATGCTCCTCCTCTTCCTCCAGTGAGAACAACTCCCCCAGGACCAGCAGGACCACCTCCCAGCTGGAGCTGCCGGTGAAGTACTCCGTCTACACCGTGGTCAGCAGGTGCCGCACCAGGACCTGAGCAGGGTCCTTCCCATCACTCTGACGGGGCTGGGGATTCTCAGTCCCTGCGGCCGAACACCTGGGATATTTAGGTTCTCCCACTACCCTCTCCCACTACCCTTCTCCCATTACCTTCTCCCACTACCCTTCTCCCACTACCCTTCTCCCACTAACCTCTCCCACTACCCTTCTCCCATTACCTTCTCCCACTACCCTTCTCCCACTACCCTTCTCCCACTAACCTCTCCCACTACCCTTCTCCCATTACCTTCTCCCACTACCCTTCTCCCACTACCCTTCTCCCACTAACCTCTCCCACTACCCTTCTCCCATTACCTTCTCCCACTACCCTCTCCCACTACCCTCTCCCACTACCCTCACCCACTACCCTTCTCCCACTACCCTTCCAGTCCTTAGCTGGCAACTGCTGGTAGCACTTGCTCCTCAATCCTGAGTGTTTATGGTGGGCTGGCTCTGACAACAGTAAGTGTGGCGTTACCATTACTTACACGCTGCATTTAATAGAGGTTATAGTTCTCAGAGGCTTTCTCCAAAGCCCCAAGATTGTCCTGGATTCCGTAAGAGACGTGAGACGTCACTGTCTTCCAGGTTCTCTCGGCCTCACTGGGAGCGAGGCTACCCTGACCTAAAGCAAGTCTTACCAAGGGCCTCTCTGTGGTCCCGGGGCCTGAGGCTTTGGGAGCTTCTAAGAGGGGGTAGGGGCTCCTGTCAGGGGAGGCCTCAGCTCAACGTTGCAGGGGTCTGTGGCATTTGGGTGGGACAGTTCTCATTGCAAGGAACAGATTTACACCTCAAAGGGCTGTTAGAACCACTCCTCCTCCCTTCCCCTTGGGAAGGATAGGGACAAACACCCTGCCTGCTCCCGGGGAGGTGGGGGGGCGGGGTCAGGGAAAAGCTACAGATGCTGCCCAAGGAGAGGTGGATGATGAGGGGTAGGTACTGCCCGAGGAGGGGTGGATGATGAGGGGTAGGTACTGCCCAAGGAGGGGTGGATGATGAGGGGTAGGTGCTGCCCAAAGAGGGGTGGATTTCAGGCACAGTGATGTGGGTGCTTTCCATAAATTCATTCATTTGACTTCAACAAAGATTTATTGAGCCTCTATTATGTGTAATCGTCGCCAGACATAGACCCCTGCCCCGTGGGATGTATGCACTTGTGATATGGAACAGGCCGTGGGACGTAGCCCGGGCACACTGCCCCAATACGTCCACCCACGTGCCTCGTCGGCTGCCCTCCTCCTGCCCAGAGCTCCACACCCTTCCCGCACCTCACGCCGGGATCTCGGAGCGCGCACTGGGGCTGGCACACCTCACAGGGCACCCACAGGCAGGCAGCCAGGTGTGACCTCTGCAGATTGCCTCTGTCCCTTCACTGCACCCCTGCCCGGCCCCACCTGGGCAGTTTCCTCTGTGGGCAGCTTCAGCGAGCAGCCAGCCGGGAGCCCAGCCCCGCTCCCTAATCTCCCCATTCCTCCGGTCAGCCACACCTCATCCGGGACAGCCAGGGCCCCACTGAGCTGCTCGGGAGGCCCCGGGGAACCTCAATGCCCGCATGCCTCTTCTCTCCCCAGCCACGAAGAATCCACCAAGTACCTCAACTTCTCGGCCTCGGAGGAGGAGGGGAGCAGCGTGACCCAGCTCCGATACCAGGTGAGTGGCGGCGGCTCAAGAGCCGGGGCTGCGGCCCAGGAACCAGGGCGCAGGGAGGGGCGTGGCCTTGGCATGCTTTGCCCTCGCTGCCCTCCGTGCAGGTGAGCAACCTGGGGCAGAGGGACCTGCCTGTCAGCATCTACTTCCTGGTGCCTGTGGAGCTGAACCAGGTGGCGGTGTGGACAGAGCTGGAGCTCCTCTACCCCCAGGTACCCGAGGACTGTGTGTGGCTCCCCCACCAATGCCCTTTGCCTGGTCTCCCGTGTCCCTCCCACTCTCCGATGTCCCCTCTGAGACGCCTGCTCTCTGTCTTCCTAGGGCCCATCTATGAACTGCTCTTCAGAGAGAACAGTGCCCACAGAGGCCGACCCCCGGGCCCACATGCAGAAGAATCCCGTGCTGGTGAGGAGGACTGGCTGCCCCCCACTTAAGCCACACATCAGAGGCACTGAGCTCAGGGGTCCGTGTGATGTTCAGAGGGATGTCTGCTGACAGCATTCCTGAATTCAGATGTGGCTGCTCCTTTAAATCAGACACGTTAATGCTGTCTGCTGCCTTCACACACACACACACACACACACACACACACACACACACACACCACATTTTTTGGACATCCTGTATATGTCCTATAATTGTTAACCTGTTCCTCACCCCAAATCTGACACTTTTTCTCGACTTGTGGTTCCTAAGTTAAGGCCCTCCTTAACTTCATTGCTATCCTGCCCTTAGGACTGCTCCGTTGCTGCCTGCCGGAGGTTCCGCTGTGACGTCCCCTCCTTCGGCACCCAAGAGGAACTGGACTTCACCCTGAAGGGCAACCTCAGCTTCGGCTGGGTCAGCCAGGTGGGTGGGCCCAGCAGCAGAGCCCGGTCCTCAGCCTCCGCCTCCCGTGGGCCCTGAATGTCTGTGCCTGGCCTCAGTGGAGAGCGAGGGCATTTCCCTGACGCCAAGCTTTCCCCAGAGCTAGCTGCCAGCTCTCCTGCCCTTTTGCAGACTCTGCAGAAGAAGGTATCGGTGGTGAGTGTGGCGGAAATCACGTTCGACAGATCTGTGTATGCCCAGCTCCCGGGCCAGGAGGCGTCTCTGAGAGCCCAGGTAGTGACTGTGTGCTAGGCAGCAGCCAGGTTGGCGAGCGGCTTCTGACGCTAAATCCGTGTGCCGGGCGGGGGCTCACAAGGCTGGAGGGGGTGGGTGAAGATCCCTGGGGGGGACAGTTGTCCCTAAGCCCCTGAGGGCTTCTGTGGTTCAGCCCGTGGAGTCTGGCCCGGGGAGGCCGGGGAGGAGGTTAAAGGTTGGAGAGGCTGGGAGGAGCCGGGGCCGCCAGACACCCAATGCTTTCTGATGGGGTCACCTCCTTCCAGACGGAGGTGGTGCTGGAGAAGCAGGAGGTCCACAACCCCGTGCCCCTCATTGTGGGCAGCTCCGTGGGAGGACTGCTGCTGCTGGCTCTCATCACAGCCATACTGTACAAGGTGCGTGCTCGCCTCCGGACCCCCAGCACGTGCTCCCACTGTTCACAGCATAAGACAGCGCTCCCCTTGGAGTCGGCCACGTTCTCGCTCAGTCACTGCATGCGAGAGAGCCTCTTCCACCTCTGACATCAGCAGTCCCCAGCTGTCCCCCATGTGTGTGCTCCTATCTATTCTCAGGCTTCCTTTAGTCTCTCTCCCTTTCTTTCCCACTCACCTCTGCCTTTCTACATGTTTCTCTTGACAGCAAATCTCTATATATAAAAGCCTAAGCAACCAAACAACCGGTTGCTATGACGCACACTGACCACCAGGGGCAAACGCTCAATGTGGGAGCTGCCTCCCTCGTGGTCAGTGTGCTCCCACAGCGGGAGCGCCGCTCAGACGCAGGGCTCACAGTGGCGCGAGCCCGTGGTAGGCATGCTGGGTCTTGTTTCACATTCTGATGGTAAATACCAGCTCACAGAACTGTGGTCCAGTCTAACTGTCACAGTGTTGCCACTGCACTGCTTGAGCATCACAGGGGCTCCTGAATGGTGGTCCCTCCCCTTCCCCATCACCTCTTTCCCCCTCTCCCACCGGACTCCCTTCCTCTCCTTTCTTCTGCACAAATCCATGCACCAGGCCTCTAGTTATAACATAAAAAGCACTGCCCTGGGAGGATTCTTTCTGTGACTAGGCAAGTGCCTGGTCCACGCTGGGTCTTGTTTCACATTCTAAATGTAGTTACCAGCTCACAGAACTGTGGTCCAGTCTAACTGTCACAGTGTTGCCACTGCACTGCTTGAGCATCATAGGGACTCCTGAATGGTGGTCCCTCCCCTTCCCCATCACCTCTTTCCCCCTCTCCCACCGGACTCCCTTCCTCTCCTTTCTTCCCTGCAGGTTGGCTTCTTTAAACGTCAGTACAAAGAGATGATGGCGGAAGCAAATGAACAAGCTGCCCCAGAAAATGGACCATCGGACCCCCAAGGTGGCCAATAAGAAACTCCCTCCTGTTCTCTTTTGGACTTGCTCTGCCCTGAGAGGCTTCCTGGCCCTTTTACTCCCGCCTGCCAGGCTTGAGGGGGAACAAATGTCCCACAGGAGGGAGGCTGGCATCGGCTGCTTTCTCTCTTTGGAGGATGAAGTTTATTTGCACAAAGCGTCTCGCCTGGGAAGGGCCATTTGTCTTGTCAAAGCTCCAGATGGAAACCCCAGGGCAGGATCCCTGCCATGCCCCCCGAGCACGTGACCTGAAATTTCTACCTGGAAATACATGGACCATAGCCCCCAGCTCCATTCTCCCTTCCTCCACTAGCCACCAGTGATCTCGCTAAAATGCAGTATTGTTTTTTGTGATTAAAAAAAAATAAAGAAATGTATTGGACTGACGTTGGTTAATAGGATCATGTAGGTTTCAAGTGTACAGTTCTGTGATACAAGATCTGTATATTGCATGGTGTGCCTACCACCCAACGTCAAATCATCTTCTGCCACCATATATATTAGGCCCTCTTCACCCCTCACCCCTACCTCCTTCCCTCTGGCAACCACCTAAGGTACGGTCTTGAACAAGTCACTCGTTCTCATGCATCTTCAGTGGCTCCCCCTTAATCACAGGGTAGCAACTAAACTATCAGCTGGATGTCGGGAGCCAGCTCCCTTTCCAGAGACCGGCTTCGGAGCACACAGCATGAGGGTCTGTGCTGCTCTGTCACCCTCATCTAGCAAAGTGCTGGCAGTACTGGTCTCGGTTTTGTCTTGGGAATCTCAGTCCAGATTTCCCGAACGAAGTTGGGAATGAAATGCCTTCCATTAGCATTTGTAAACTTGGCTTCTAGCGTTGGTCGGCACTGCTGGCCACGAGGGAAGGGTGCCCCTGCCCCCGGAGGAGTGGTGGCCCCAGTGCCACTTCGGCTCACCCAGCTTCAGGGTCTCTTTGAGGCCCTAAAGATAGCAAATGAATAAATGCCAGAACATACTGGTAATTATAAAAATTGCACATTTTAAATATTTGCATTAACAAATTAACACTTTGCACAAAAAGATGTATGTGCCTTTATTGGGAAACATGTCAAAGATCTAAAATTAATGCCTTTTATGGATGTGAGTCCTGGAAATGACGCTCATGCTGTCCCCTCATCATGGTAGACGCCGGCCAGCCCTGAGGCCTGGGGCCAGGACCAGACAGTTAAACAGGTTAGGGTTATAAACATCCCTTATTGGGGGTAGCCTGACCTCTTCATCTGCTCACTCCATTCTCAGGGGTGTCACTGATGGGAAACGGATAGGGCTGAGGGGGAGGGGTGGCGAGGAGAAGGGGCAGCCCTTCATGGCTACTCTTCCCTCTGGAAGGAACCAATGCACAGATGCTTGTACAAATCCTGAGAGGTGTTGACACTGCTTGCGTGTGGCTAGTGATCGGGGAGACTCTGAAGTCCTATATCAGGGGCCTGCTGCCTCCGATAAGGTTATTATTGTGCCACTCATCTCGGCATGAAGCTCAAAGTGGTGCCTGGTGCTGAGCTGGGAGCCAACACATCCCTGCCCGGGAGAGATCCCACTGTTGCTGCCGCCACAAGGGTGCTCGGGCCTGAGGATCTTTTAATTGGAAAAAAAGAAGGGGGAAGCAGTTGATCATGTGACTTGAGGGAATGCTAGAAAGTGGCCCTTTCCCTCCACCCAACGATACCCTCATCCACCGTCTTCGGGTCCAAACTCCTTTTGTATCTGGAAGCTTTGGAGTCTCCAGAAGGGCCAGTTATCATACAATAGCCTCATGGTGGGCTCTAGGCGAGACTTCACTGGAATCCGGCTTTAGAGTGTTGTTTCTCAAAGTGTGTTCCACAAACCACCTGTGGTCTCCACTGATCTCCTATGTGCCAAGGCTTTTTATTTACTTACTAGAAGCCCGGTGCACAAAAATTTGTGCGCTGGCAGCGGGGGGGGGGGGGGGGGGGGGGTTTCCCTCACAGTCTGGGACCCCTTGGGAGATAACCACCTACTGGCTTGGGCCCGTTCCCCTGGTGGCAGATGGTACGCCTGATCCGCGATGCCTTCCCCGTCTCCCCCGGTCGCACACTGCAGGCCCAGATCCCACACTGGAGTGGGCGGTGGCTCGGAATCGCGCTGCTGCCTGCCCCCGCCCTGGGCCGGGGATTGCACTGCTGCCAGCACAGGATGGTGCAGCAGGATCTGCCTGCAGTATGCAAATTTAATGGCCATCTTTGTTGGGTTAATTTGCATACTCTTTAGATTGGCTGATGAGCGTAGCAAAGGTATGGTCAATTAGCATCTTTGTCTTTTATTAGTGTAGATTTATTTATTTCCTCACCCAAGGAAATGCTTATTGATTTTAGAGCAAAAGGAAGGGAGAGAGAGAGAGAGAGAGAGAGAGATGGGCCCGTTCCCCTGGTGGCAGATGGTACGCCTGATCCGCGATGCCTTCCCCGTCTCCCCCGGTCGCACACTGCAGGCCCAGATCCCACACTGGAGTGGGCGGTGGCTCGGAATCGCGCTGCCGCCTGCCCCCGCCCTGGGCCGGGGATTGCACTGCTGCCAGCACAGGATGGTGCAGCAGGATCTGCCTGCAGTATGCAAATTTAATGGCCATCTTTGTTGGGTTAATTTGCATACTCTTTAGATTGGCTGATGAGCGTAGCAAAGGTATGGTCAATTAGCATCTTTGTCTTTTATTAGTGTAGATTTATTTATTTCCTCACCCAAGGAAATGCTTATTGATTTTAGAGCAAAAGGAAGGGAGAGAGAGAGAGAGAGAGAGAGAGA